ATACAATATATAAAACATAAGAGAATTAATCAATCAGAATCTTTTATGAAATGAAGGACTCTAATTGAATGATTTTCTTATGCTTTATGTATTATACGTGCAAAGATTTGTTCCATCTTTAATGTTTATAAAATATTTTAGCTAAATATAACTGTTATATGCAAAACTCTGAAATGCGTACTACTGTATGTAGCCGTCGTATTCATTTGACAAGTATTCATTTGACAGAAATTTCTCGGCGCAAAAGAGATGATTGCGAAACGCTTTCACAGTCGCAAAATAATCTTGCTAAGCTGATCATTAATTTAAAGACAAGCGTCATTATTACGTTGAGGTCATATATTTTAAAAAGAATTTCAAGATATATTTAGACAATCTTGACAATTAAATATTACCTAATATTTGAATTAATGTAATAGAAAGCTGTATGATAAAATGATTTCTGTGACAAATTAACAATGAAGTAATAAATAACGTTTTTTTCAACTATAATCGCCACAAAAGGAATCTAATATAAAATAATAAAAGTATTTTCCAATAACGAAATTTTATAATAACGATGTGTTGCGTTATGTCGTCTTTTAATATACTGTCGAAAACGGACGGTCTTGCGATTCCTCGAATTTCGGCGTGCTGAATCAAATTACAGTTATTTTCTGATGTAAGTAAATATACAGTTATAATTCATATCCCTCTTAAGTGTAATTTCACCTTTTAAACATAGAGAAACGTATACGATGAAATGGAAAAATTAAAATAATAATTACTCGTTACAAAGCAAATAAGATTCATGGTTTCTTCAGTTTTCCGGGATTTACTCTTACTACATACTTCTAGAAATTTGTTGGTTTCGCTAACGAAGTTTAGATGTTTCGAGCACACGACGTCCGTTTTCCTACTTCATCGCCGATATTTCGCACGCAGATATGACGCAAACTATCAAGCAGTACGTACAAAGATGTAAAAGGTGGTCCTTGTAATAGCAAGAACCGTATATCCGTTTGTCCGACCATTCTCTTAGCGTCAGACACGCTGTCGGTCACGTGCGTCCGATTGCCAACTCACGTGGCAGCAGGCGTGCGTTAGAAGATAACGCGTGTACATAGTATCTCATGAACAATATTTTAATATCAGTTTTTTAGAAATTAATTGGAGCTCAAATTTTAATATAAAAATTCGAAGTTATAATTTTCATTATTTATTCATATTTTTTCATTCAATGAAAATACATTCAGAAAAAAATAAGTATCTAATGAAGGAATAATTCGCACAATGAAGAAAAATCGCGAGTATTTTCATCCAAAAATATTATCGTTGGTTACATTTTTTAATTAAAAATCTTTAACCGAAAAATCTTTTAGCAAATGCTTGCTGACACGTGAGTAGCGTGTGACCGATATGGATAACATAATGAATACACAGACATATCTTACACACAGGATCATTAAACGTTTGCATTAATCTGTGGTACTCTATGCAAGGTATGGAATCTATGAGAAAGTTATTACATTTAGCTGGAATGTTCACAGGTTCATTGCCTCATTGTCAGATTAAAATAAAAGATAATTGAGCACTCATTGGCACATCGCGCTGCAGCGGAGTTGTAGCAGTATGTTGATCTGTAAAATACAACCATAAAATCCAAATTATAATACATCCGAAATAATTTCAAAATATTTCAAAAAATAATCATTACATCAAATTTCCTATTTGCCTTTTTTAGGTAAACATTTCATAAAATAATTACATAATATTCGTCTTCTTTTAACAATATTACAAACTTTTCAAAATTTATAAGTATTTCTATATAAATTGAAAAAAACAATGTGAGTAATTGCGTTAATTTACCCTAAACTATAATTTAGTTATCTTATAGATGCCCTGCTGTTACCCGATATTTTTCAGACCTCCTCTCAAGTTCCTAATTCATTACACTTATATAACACTTACTCGCGAAAACACAGTTAATTATGTTCGCACGTTAGTCGCGTTATGTTCACGGAATGTAGAATACGATGTTTGCACGGCACTCCCGACATTAATCGCATACGACACGCACTTTACCGTACTGCGACGGAAGAAAGAATACTTATGAACGCGGAAAAAGTACGATCGCAGGAAGCTACGATCCGCTCGACGTCTCGCAACGGAAGAATATTAGATTATAGAGTTTTAATAAATCACTGACGTTTTGAATATTAAGTAATGCTATGCACTTTATAAATATTAACATACGAAACTAATTACAATTCTGCTCATTAATTAAATACAATGTCGATTCGTTTGGCAAGGATAGAAAAATTCAAAACCGATGTTAAAAGATACATGATCGAAGTTGAACATTCTATTTTTCGAATGTATATTCAAGATTTTTCGAACGTATATTCTCATGAAATATTATTTTTAACTTGGGAATCACTTGATTATTTTTACATAAACTATCGCTTAAAATATCTTTATATCCCAATTAATACCATTATTATTAACAATCTATTATTGATTATTTTCCAATTATTAGTATTTGAGATACAGATTTAATCATAATTTTCCGAAAAAAAATAAAGAAAAGCTAAATATTGAATGTTAAGTAGCTTATTATAATAGTATTTTAAAAAATTAAGATTTTAATTAATATAATGCTTTTTTATTTCGAGATTTGGAATTGCATATTTTAAAGTTTATAAAAAAGTTATTAAAAAAGAGAATAGTTATTCAGATCTAGGCATCTTTAAAGAAATGATAACCGCGAAAATCACGATAAAAATGTTAATTCGCACACTTCTGTTATTCTGGCTACTTGATGGCTATTCGATTTAAAATGAATAAATCGCGCAAAATATTTCATAATAATCACTAATGTAAGAAACTCGTGTCTGGCATACTCTTGCTATTTATGATTAAGAGAATATATGTTGCCTATCATCTCGAATGTTATTGTGTGAATTGATAATAAGGTGACTGTATATAACGGGTGCGATGTACAACGATGCGTGGCGCGTCAGAAAAACAATATTAAACATCAAACGCCGCGAATGCCGTTAAGGCTCTAATTCGCAAATCGCAAAACGTAGTTCGCACACGCAGACGCTGAGTCAAGATTTGCGTTTGTTTTTTCATTGCATGCAGTTGGTTTTCATTTCTCTTTCTCTTGAAAAATAGTTATATTAAAAAATATTTGAATTTATCTAAAAGTTTTGACTGTTTAAATTTATGACTGTTTAATCATTAGTTTTTAAATTATTATCAAAACAAAGAAAAATATACTTTCTTTTTAAACAGACTGCATCTTGTTCTATTCTATAATATTTTAGAAACAATCCACTATGAAATAAATAAATAAGATCGACGATTTGTAAATATAATGCATTATATGCACTTCTTTTCTCGCCATCAGTTTACTTTCTTTTACGCTCGCACGAGCGCGACCCATGTTAACCGTGCCAAAAGACATTTATACGACGTGAAAGAACAAGAAAGATTGGGTATTGCGGAAGCAACTTGTCATTTTCCGGTTGGTTGACTGGACAAAGCTAACCCAATGGATATTGAACTCACGAATATCACCATGGACTTGTCGCTTAAACGGCGAATGAACGCGACGTTACGCATGATAGAGGTTACAACGCACAGCATCGAATACCTAAATAATATTTTTATTACGTAAATTCTTCAGTAAATGTCTTCAGAGGTCTTCTGCAGCATCCTAATTATTCCAGCAGAAGAGTCAAAAGAGTATTATTTGCGTATGGAATAGTCTTATGAGAAATATTAGCATTGATTACAGATTTTTTCGCATGTCTAATGTATTGTTTCAAATATATGCGTGCACCCGCACCGGCCTTTGGTGTGGCAAAAGTAATAATTTAAACAATTTTATTTGCGTATCTGTTAGTGCCACCTTTACCGGTTCCCACGATCGAACGCTTTCTCTCTCGAACCCGTTCCGTGGCACCTGAAGCGCGAGATTTGATATTGCTTGCGAGATTTAGCGTGAAAGATCGATACGTTCTCAATTAACACAAAACAATAGCGCGCGGAGTTGTAGAGCGATAATTGAAACATCTTCTCTGTGAAAATTTCGTAAAGATATTGTACACACTTCGGAGCAATTGAGTTTTTCTGAAGAATCGTTTTCATCAAGAAGAGAATCAACCCTTTGTGAAATTCGAATCTTCGACGCTTTTTGCAAATGTAATTAAATGACAGAAGATGAAAGAGAGTACCGATGCGAAACGTTGTAGGTATTGCCGGTCGGTTGTAAGAAATCATTGAGCAAGCGAAAGTAATCATCATTATTCTTGGTTTGCTACATGTATCTACGCGTGTCTCAAAGCAAACACATATTCTCGAATGGCCGCATCGACTATTACACGGCTAGTTAACTCGTTACTCGCAATGTGAGAAATTAATTCATAACTGCCGCGACAGATTTCGACAAATTACGTGGAGCGTTACTTCCTGGTTGTACATTGTTCATTCTTTTTTAGGCTTTCACCGGAAAAAGACATTCATATGATTCATTATTTCCTGATGCAAATTGAACACGTAATTAAAAAATTTGATTTTATTAAAAAAAAAAAAGCGTAAGGAATCTTGATTCAGTTTGAAATCGGTTCTAATTCCACAAGAAAAAACGGTTTTGCTAAAATGTTTAAAAATTTAGTTAGATAAGAATCTAAAAATAATTTTATTAAACTACAGAAATAATTATGTAGGACGTTTAAACATGATGAATAATGCAAAGGTTTTGACGTTCTAACAACCAGCTTGAGCGTTTTAATTTTAATAATTATGATGGCTCAACAAAAATATTTTCAGATCTATGTATCTAATTAAACTTTGAAATACTTGCAAAAAACCGTTCTCTTTCCTTACAATTACTTATCTTCGCTAAACGTTTTACGAGATATATCTTCGTTAGTCTTCATAACACATCTCTTTATTTCACACGTTTCGCATATCATAGTATTGTTCTGACTAAGTACGGTTCGTAATATATGATGTCGCCCACTACTGAAAGTGAGATTGAAATTGTCTGTTTTGCATTGGTCGTCGACTGGGTTACCTTGATATCCACTTCGCTCTCACAAGACACTTAAAACTTACGACACGTATCGTCAGGGTTAACGTGGACACCTACCGAATGCTATATCTACATCAGAGTCTTCATTATTTCGGATGATAAAACAACTTTGTAAGCAACATAAATAATTGCTGATTTTAAATACGCTTGAGTTGCGTAAGTACGGACGTATTTTTAAGCATCAAATTCTAACTCCTAGAAAGCAGTAAGATCAAACGTATTTATGGATTCGCAACGCTCTTTTTATTGCGGAATGTTGATAACCCTATCCATCATTGTGGAATTTCGTTGGCGCAATACACTACTTGTCGTCGCTATTAAACGAGCCCCGCCGAGATTACCCGGGAGCAATCATCGTTCTTATGGCGAGAAAAATCTTTCAGATATTAGCCGCGGGTCGCAGACAGCGCGACATGAATGGACGAATTGTTCTTACGAAACGAACGTAATCCCCGAAGGATTTCTCTTCGTTCGAGTATCGCGCAAGAAAACGAGCTCAAGGTAGCCCTTGCCTATGCAACCGTGATTATGCAGCTGCATACGTGGAAGTCGATCGTCAGGTGGGCCCCCAAGTATCTCCTTACTGCTTTACGAATGCGAGTAAACCTTCGAATACCAGAAGCTGGAATTTACGATATCGTGCAAGTGCGGGAAACTATGCGGGAAAATTATGCGTGAAATCATGCAACTCGAAAGTAACAGAAATGGTTCGTCGACACGTCACATTACCATCCGGAATGCTTTCGCAACCTTATTCAACGTTCACTCACAATCGTGTTACGTAGCAGTTATTATAGCTTCATCAAGGAACGTGTATACATACAGATAAATTTATTCTATTTATGCGAAATTTTATCCCTGAGTTAATATGCATGATGAGTTTCGATGCGACAGATTGGTGTAATCATGAGACATAAGCGCATTTCATAACGCGATTCAAGTCGCATCGAAATAACGTGTGCACGCGGCGCACATTGTCGAACACGAATTTTCTCTCCCACGTACATCGACGCGACCGCGATCGTTACCGATTGTTGAGTAACGTGACGCGACGACCGCTTACCACGAAACGCGACGACCGGTTTGCCGCGAAACGGCTTGGTTAGCCGGAGGCCAGACGTCGGGAAAAGAAGGACGACGCGAAGTCGACCAGCTGACCCAATGTGACCGGGGACAAGGATGACCTCAGTACGTCGGTCCCGATTACCACGATACGGAGAAATGCTCGTCGTCGAAATAAACCGGATGTCACCTGTCCCGGTAGCTTCGCGAGTTCAACGTCACGGGATCATTGGGTAATGATCGCGATTCCTCGACATTCTAAGGCTGCTTGTCTTTTAAGAGACACAGTCGACACAAATGTCGTTCTATCTTTGTTATTGAATGTGGAGAAGGATAAAACCACGAGAAAGCAAAATGTGGAAATGGTTCCGTGATAAAATGTCTGTAAACAATCGTACTCAGTAAAAAAACGTCTGATAATAGATTGAATTTGTTGTTGACTCTTTTCTACGTGGATCAAGCAGTCACTACAAATCATAGACGCTATATAGAAAGGCACTTATAGCTATTCAAGATGTAGCGTATGCAATCACGTGTACATGCAAGTGCATAGGCACTCACGTGTACGCGGGAAGAACACAACGTAAAGATATTCCTTGCGAGAAAAGGAGTCGGTCAAATAACTGTACGTCGCGGCCTCCGGACGACATCTTCGATGTCGCCGGCGTCTGGAGCCCCCTCTCTCTCTATAATCTCTCTATACCCATCCTATAGACACGCACCTTCCTAGACACGAAGACATTTGCATTCGCTCTTTTTTTCTTATCCGCTTCTTCTCGTTTTTTTCCTAAATCGTGAGTAAATGCACAATTTAGTTCTTGAGATATCCGGAAAAATTTTATGAGTGTTATACTTGAAACTTCCAGGTTCCACGTTCTTTTTTTCTTTTTATAAATAACAAAAGGGAAATTACTGTTGCAGTATAAAAAAATGCGTACGAATATGATGACATCCATTATGACGCATAGCAATTATTTCGCGAGGAACTATGACGATGACCAAATGAAGCGCGCTCCTACTATTATAACATCCTTCAATAATTTCCTTTCACCACCCACGCCTCCTCTGTCGAATACATCAAAGCGACCTTGCATCTTACTTACATATGCACAAATTAGGCATTAATATTAAATAAATTGTTTAAAGACATGTATGTTAGAAATGTTTTCTTTGCTTTTCTTACAGATGAAGTTTTATCGGATAATATTAGAGCTTCCAGGATAAAAAGGGATCTAGAGGGTAAGTCTTTCCGTAAATGTTTACGTGCTAACAAATTTATGCTAATCGTGACACATTTACGACACCTGAATCACACCGATACACGCAACAAGGATTGCATTCAAAATTGAGCTTTTCAAATGAGTTTTTCTAGTTGCATCTGATAAAAATATCTATTTATACATCTTAGATTTAACAATTCTGTGTCAAGTTTGAGTGCAAACCTGTAACATAGAACGATCTTTCCGCTTTTGTTCTTTGTCTCTGCTCTCTATATAACTTATCTCTTCTCACGATACATCATTTTGCGTATCTCAATTATCCATGTGCGTGTTGACGCGAGGTGCGGCCGTGTAAATATATTTCTCAAGCGGTTATACACACTTTCCTGTCGCTAAGTTGAATATAATATGCATATATCATCTCGTTTCAGTGGTATCTGGCTTTAAAATCTTTCATACATTTAATTGCGAGATGTTCCTCCCCAAGATATGAAAATTCATCACGTTGTGCAGGAAGCATTCTTAAATATTTCAAGTTGTTAAAAATAATGAAGTAATAATAAAATAAAAATATGCTATTTTAATTATTGTAGATATTTTAATTTTTGTTTAATAAAGAAAATCGCTTAATGTGCGTGATCTTAGAATTTTCAGGACTTAGGGGTTGTACATAAGCAACTTAACTAATAGCTATAAAATATCTTTCTTTTCCTCGTAAGCATGCCAACTTTTCTTACTTCAAGGAACATTTTTTTTAAGAAGTAGGGTAACGATGCAAATTAAGCGGGATATCGCGGATAGTGTTGCAACAAGTGTCCTAGGCTACGAAAGAAGAAGGCTCATCTACTAAGATCGTCTGTCTCTTTTTTTTCTGTTTCTGTTACTGCTCCTGTCTGCTCCCCGCCTTCAACTCTTCTCAACAACGGATGCCGTCTGCCTCCAACGTCCGTCCGCCACTCCGTCTCTCCGACGACCTACATTACGATAAAAAAAAAATACAATATTACGACGCGAACATTGACTGACGCAAACAAACGATGCTGACGTATTTCGATACACGGTTATGACACGGACGGGCTCGTAAACGTGAAATGCGACTGAACGAATCAAATTCGTTGCACATATTTACGCTTGATTCTAAATCAATCACATTTCTATAATTTCGCGTCCCGTTTTGCTGATATAATCGCTCTCCCCTATTTCTTTGTTCGTTCTCAACAATTTCATTGACAAATTATCGATGCGACATATTTCTATACCATTATCGTATTATTCCGTATATTTCTTTTGAACTTGGCTACTCAGGAGTGACCACAGTCCTTTTGGTATCGGCAATTCCTTATGGAAAGTCATTACCACCGGTTGGATTATTGACAAAAACGGCACGGACATTCGTACAACATGGCGCGAGTACCGAATTCGCCACTCAAGTTGTGGGCACGACTTTGGATAATGGTCGTCTCTACGCGAGAATTTTATCTACATCCAGTAGAGTTTACAAAAATCCAACGCCGGATTCGGCGAGTCCCTACGTCGTTTATCCCTCGAGAACACCGGAAGATGATTGGCAACTTCGATTGGCCCTTGATAACGCGCCATTCAGAGCTGAAAGGCTGAGTGGTAAAATCAATACCGAATCAAATGAAGAGAAAAAGGATACTGGGAATACCTCGAAATTGGACGAATTGTCCAAAGAAAATGATATATTCAATAAAAGAGAGCTAAATATGGATACGCAGAGATTCAAGCCAGAGAAAGTTCAACCGGCCGATCTGCCCACTTATACCGTCAAACAGGAATACGTGTCAAACAACTTCGATTCGTTCGACGATGTGTCGAGAAGTTTTAGACCTCGAACACCGAAGATTTTTAAACAGCAGGCGAAAACTCCGCAACAAAAGAAGCTAGATATGAAGCCTCTCGCTACGGTGACCTACCATGGCTTCGCGGATTTCACGACAACGGTCGGCGATACCGTCATCGTCTTTTCGCCGAGCACGTCACCGGCACCCATGGGACGTCCCGCTACTACGATCAAAGGCGATGCTACGCTTCGTCCGGATGATGGTATAGCAGTATTAAAAATTCAGCCAACGACTGTGATGGAACACGCAAAAACCGATCGACCTTATGAGGAGGACCGGAAGCACGGTTCGAACGAGCAACTTCTGAGCACTATTAATCGCGACAATATTCAACCAAGCGTCACCGAGGAAATTGATGTCGAATCATCCAAGAGATCCACGGAACCGTTACTGTTGGTACCTGATGTCGAAACGGGATCGTTGAAACCAACGGGTCTTGTGAAGGTCGTTGATTCTACTACTTCGTTAGACGGTACCACGACACATTACAAAAGTCTCATTTATGGCACATATATTGGCACGAATTATCAGCAAATAATTCATACATCTTCGAACGTATATTTCTTCCCGGATGATGCCACTGTAACATATGGAGCCGATGACACAACTACGGAATACGGTACAACTGAAACAGAATTCGACGACCGAGATACTACTGTCGAAGCACTACCTTCTACTACGCCGATGACCATCACGACTAGCGAAGAAGAGATGAATGAACTGACTACTCCGTTGAAAGGCACAACAGACAGTGTCTTAACAACACTGAAGGACATCTTAGAAAGTGCAAGAAGAGTATTAGGAACGACCGAATCGGTGATACCGACTTTAGACGACGAAATTCCTAATGACATCGTGCCAGATCCTCAGGGTCGTAGTATCAAAGGCGGCTCTCTTCAAAATAATCTCCAACCCGAACATAAACATGATTCAGGTAACGAGGAAGAAAAAGTAACGTTAGCTACTAGATTATTGCCGTCTACCATCTACAAGACGTTTACATATTTCACAACTTTCTTTATTCCGGGCGGCAGCGATCAGACTACGACTTCGGTACGTTCTCGGGAGATAGTCTCTTCCGAGATAACGTTTTTGACAGAATTAATTCGACCTGCCTCGACCAAAAATTTAATTCGTCCTACTACCTCGCCAGGCTTAAGGCAAAAAACACTAAGTTTGTCTGATGAAAGCTTGACTGAAGAGGAACAAACTACCAAACAAGATGAGGAGATAGAACTCATTTTTAAAACTTTGTACACGACGTATACGTATCTAACGACATTTTTCCAAGAAAATACATCTAGTGTATCCAGTCGGCAAGTTGTCGAGACTAATGTTATCACGCAAACCGTTGGACCAAATGGTGTTTCTGCCGTTGTTGCCGGTCTCTTCAATAAAGATGAGTCTATTCTGATATCGCCAACGACGATATCACAAAATATTTTGCCGTCGGTAATAACAAATGGTCGCACTCCCGAGAAATTCAATAAAGATACTGAACTAGAAGTTCCTGATGAAACGACAGAGGGAGATCTAACCACTCTCCAGCAACAGGATACCACATTACACGAGAACATTCCAACGGAATCCATCACGACTATTGATGATTTTGAAACATCTGACGGCTGGACCACCGATTTAGAACCAAGCCCCACACCAGCTATGGCGAGCGTAGAAATACAGGAACAGGTGAAGACATATTATACAACATATACGTACTTTACCACTATCTTTGTAGACGATGAAACGGAAATCGAGACGCGAACCGAGGTTTTCACTAACGTCGTCACAGAGACAATTACACCTACTAAGGTTCAATTGGTTCCGCAAGAGACGGCTCGACCAACGACGCCGAGATCTCAATCTGTTGAAAATAAGCCTGCGCCTCCTCCAGAAATTTTGGCTTATTTAGAAGCTCTTCAGCGTCAAAAATCACAAGAAGAGGCACTTTTATTAGCAAAGAAAGTTCAGCAAAATAACACTGATCAAGTAATACATGCTGAAACTACCGAAAACAATACTGAGATTACAACGGAGGAACCTACCACTTTGGAAGATCGGTTCACCACTGAGCGTCTATTTCGTGATTTCCAAGTAGGCGCGCAAGTTACGCCTAATCCTTCGACTGAAATGGAAGTTCTGGGATCTATGATCACGGACGTCGTATCCTCTTCCAGTTCTGGTGGCGGTACTGTTCTAGATATGGATAAAAGAAACATCGTTCCCGAAGATCAGGAATTGTCGGAATCTAACAACCATGAAGTAGAACCCGCGCCGACATTGCTTCTACAAACTAGTTACACGACTTTTACATACTTCACGACAATGTATAAGGGCGATCAAACAAATGTCGCCAGTCGCCTGGAAACAATTACGAATGTCGTCACGGAGACTTTAAGGCCATCCATCGCAGTACCGGTTCCAACTAGCACTCTACCGGTGACATATTTCACGACCTTTACATATTGGACAACGTTCTACAAGGGTGGTGACACCATAACCACTAGTCGTGAGGAAACAGTCAGCAATGTTGTTACATCGGACGTCTCGCCTACGCCTACAGTAGAGCTCGGAGTAGTAATGACGTATACGCCAACTGTAAATTCACTGTTAGAGGAGGAATCAACCAACGAAGAGGAATCCAAGATTACGGCGGATAATGAAGTAACACCTGTCGACAGAGCTGGATCTGAAAAATCTATCACCGAAAATATAAATGAACCATCGTCAATAACAACTAAACCTGACACTCAAAACGCGGTGAACATTTCATCAATTTCACCCGAGCCTACAACATTCTACACAACATTTACTTACTTCACTACATCTTACGTCGGAAATGAGACAATCTTGTCCAGCAGACTGGAGACCGTAACAAGCGTATCGGTACCAGATATTGCGACACAACAGGCAACTGGTCGCGCAATCGGTGGACCTGTGTATCCGTCAATTCAGACAATAAATACCAATGATAAAACCGTGACATCGTCTAAGACATCCGAAACTTTCAAAACAGGTTTGATTTCGACAATACGTTCGAGTGAAATACATGAAGATACTACGACTCATTATACGACGGATGTATATGGTACTTATATAGATGGATATTACGCACGAGTGGAAAAAAGCTCGACGAGAATAGAAACACCGCCATTACCTTCTTCATCGATAGCTACACCGGTTCTCCCTACAGGAGTTTTATCCTTGAATAGAGGAAGTGTAGTAGACGCTGACGAAGTCACCACTGTTTACTTTACGACGAAACAAATTGCTACGCTTTTCGAGGGTACTTACGCTAAAGTGATTGAAAGTACGTCAAGCACAAAGATAGACGAGGAAAGAAAAGCAAGCATTCCGCCGACTCAAGGTCATCGAACTGGCCTGGTACGTTTGATTCAAGGTCAGATGGAAAATAATGGTACCACTACATTTTACCAATCGAAAGTAATTGGCACCAGCATTGAGGGAAGATATGCTCAGATTATTGAAAGTACTTCCAGCTTCTTTGTGCCGAGTTCCACGAGGAACATCGCGCCGACTTCTACTCTACCTCCAAGTCAATCGACAGGTATACAGGAAATATCACCTTCAAGATGAGGACTCCGGCCAGAATGAAGAAGACGACGAAGAGGATGAAGAAGACGACGACGGACAAAGTTCTAAAAAGAAATCACGATTGACATTCTCGACAAGAAAGAGAACCTTCACGCCAGTTATCAGACCGTTCGCTTCCAGGAATAGGCCGACTTTTAATCCAAAACGCAAAGGCGCGCAAGCCGCAACAACTATTACCAGAACGGATATAACCCCGACGATAACTGCCACTTTAGCTGGCAAAGGTAACAGGTTCGCATCATCGCGGGGTCGCGTTACTTCGCCAATCGGGCCGTACTCTTCGACGTTATCCCCCTCAGGTTCTAGAAGATTTTCAGGCAGACGCGGATCTGCCACTACTTCAAGTTCGGTATTCCCAGCGGGCAGTACTCGAGGTAGAGCACCGCCCAGAATAACTCCGTCGTCCGTGTTTCAAAGCAACAGACGCGGTCCTACGTCTGTAAGAGGATCCTCTGCTAGGATCGCAACTCGCGTTTCAAGTTCTGCATTTCCTGGTGCCTCGTCGAGATTTCGTGCAGGTATCAGACCATCATCAACGTTATTGAGAGGGCAACCTACCATCAGACACGACGATCAAGAAAACGACGCCAATGAGTTCACCACGACTACGCTCGTAACGGATGAAACACCGTTTACAGAATATGTCGACAGTGAAACTAATACTACTCCTCTGCAAACTACAACAGAATCATCTAGAAGATCTACGAATCCGCTCCTGAGATTCCGCAGACCCATTAATTTAACTAACGGCAGATCGGTAACTACTTCAAGACCATCAACAACCACAACTCCGAGACGATCGGGAAATTTAAATAGACCGAGTGCGCCAACAATTCCTAGAGTAACCAATGGACGAACAAATAACAGAGCAACTCCTCCGGTGTCTACGAGAACGCGACCTAGTAATACAGGTCTGTTCCCACCACGTGGATTTCTTGGTAGGAAGCAAGAAGCAACTACTGAAGAATCGACTGAATCAAACGAGGAACAAAATGAAGGCAACGAAGGTTTGGAAGACGAGCCCGTTGAAGAAATATCAGACAATGATTACGAAGGATCGGAACATGAAGATAAAAGATCTAACATAAATGTAAATCGTCGTTCCGGAAAAGCTGTTGGACCCGTCGTACAAATTAGACCTTTCGGAGCTAGAACAAGAAGAATTCGACGTCAGGCTAGCCAGCTTAGAGCATACAGTAGTCGTTTCCGTAGACCCGCTCAATCTTCTTCTGCAAAAGCAGAAGAGAGATCCGATTCATTAGACGCCATAATAAATAAAGAAGACATTATAAAAACAGCACTGAAACCTTCCGCTCGTTATAATAATCGCGCGCGAAGTTTAATGTCCTCACAACCACAGAAGTTATTTAATTCTGATCAAACGGCAGAAACATCAGAGCTATCGAGTCAGCAAAGTAAACCGAGAACCAGACCGAAACAATCTACTGGAAATAGAAATGGATCTGTCAGAATAAAACCATCTCCGGCCTCGAACAATGGAAGACAATTTACATTAAGAGAAAAGGACACCTCTTCTAACAGATCGGGATACAAAAGGCCGACTTCTCCTTCCAGAACGAATAGTAGATCTACTAGTAAACCTGACAACGGAAGAGTGAGACCACCAAGATTACGAAATGGATCTTCCAAACCAACAGAATCTTCAACGAATTCTCGAAGAGTATCACCGTCTCGCTCAAGATCATCAAACGGAAGAAATGGAAATAGAAGAGTTCCTACAAGAAGTAGAGGAACCTTTGAAGATATTCGGGAAGCGCCTACCGTATATCCAAATTTCGACGGCACTATAACTGTAACACATTATGTACCAACGGAAGTAACAATTCCTGTAGTGAACAATGGCGTCACAGAACATCGAACTATTATAACGCAGCAACCAAGCACTGAAGTCCTCGGACCTTCTCAATATAGCACGGTAACAGCTGGAGATGGAAAGCCCCTTGTAGTGATCGTTAGCGAAGTGACGGGTACCAATAATCAAGGCCAGGCCGAGATTACACGATTCTTGCTGCACGAGACACCCACTACTCGTATTTCGCATACCCTCGCAAGCCTCGGTGGCCGTCGCGTCTCTCAATCGGTTATTATACCCACGACGGTGTTCTCCGTGGAGAACATAGTTTCTACGATACAACCTTCCTTGCCCGGTAACGCTCCTCTCGCCAATATTCTTCTCTCACAATTACTTCTGGGTCAATTAGGTCAACCGAATTCTTTGTTATCCCAAACCACACCCACCACGCAGTACAACACACGCACCACCTCCTACGTCACAACAATAACGAAACATCGAAGCACTATCATTCCCCTCACCTTCCGCGGCAAGGAGATTCTAACGACTCTGATCGACTCCTCAACCAATGTCGTTACTGCAACGGAATTCATAACAGACACCGTTGTGGTGACTCCAACGGCCGCGATACCGGCGGCCAACATAAATTCTCTCTTGTTGTTACTCCAACAACCGCAGACGCAACCGCAGAATCCCAATCCATTATTGGATCCTCTGTTCGCGGCTGCTCCATTCACACAGAGTAACACCTTACCGGGAGAAGTCGAGAGAAGACATCAGCCGGCCGATTCCGATTATAAACACGATAGCTACGAGTATTATGAGGACGACGCGGAAGAATATCAAAAGTCATCCAGACCACGCGGACGCGGTAAATTGAATGATAAGAAAAAAGAATCCAAGGCTTCTGCAAAAGCTGAATCTAGCGTGGTGACGCTCTACGTTTCCGGCCGCAGACCCGGAGAATTCAGCACTGTTTTGAGTACTGTGAAAGTCGGCGATTCTGTCACTGCGTCCAGAAGACGAAGAGACGCTTCGGAAAGAGCCATCGAAGTCCGACCTTCCATACCACCGTCATTGCACGCTGGACCGGTGGCCGTTGCCATTTTGGCGGGAAGCGAAGATCCTATCGACCACGCACCAACACAAAGTCTCGAGAGCGTAGTGGGTGACGTCGGACGGCATATTTCCACGTCCATCTATACCTAATCTTATTCCCCTCTGTGTTATACAAAAATCCTTTCCCGCTCCTCATCCTCCTATCTCTCTTTTGCCCTTATATTATATGTCTATTATTTTATTGAAACCCACTTAGAATCGCCCTGGAGGCTAACCGGTTTTTCTGAATTTCTTTCATCCGGAGAGCGTCGGTTCAGCTTCTTCGAGCACGTCATAGTGGGAAAAAAACCGAGCAACGTTAATAAAAATCGAAGTTGCTGTGTATGTAATATAGAAAATCCCGAGACTGCCGGGATCCTTTTCCTTAAAGTTGCGTAAAGGAAAGGTCATGGGTAATTGACTTCGGTGAAACAAGAGTCATTCGTGAGAATGGCCGTCCCGTATTCAGTTCACTCTCTCCCAACCTCTCTTAAACTTCTTCTCTTTCCTTCTTAAAAATATCCTCTTTGAGCGTCGTCCCTCATTTCCTTTTACTAACATAACCTCGGTCTGCCGCCGCACGCGCGCCCACACGACAAAACTGGACATGATACTCTTCTGTCTCGCCAACAACATTACAACAAACAAACAAGTCGTGCAAGCGCCCGATAACGTTATTAAAACGCAAAATATATATGGTGAAATTCAATCGGATGAGCACACAAAAACCGAACACGAGGCAGTTATTTAAATCCATCAAATCAATGCATCACAAAAGCAACACCCGAGAACGGCTTTATCGTTGCACTCTGCTTGATCATATAGATTTTTATTAAATCGCGGAGTGAACTTAAATACAAGGCGAAATGTGATTCGAACAATCGAATGGAACAGTCGCCTTTGCAGGTAATCTCTACGCTGAATCGGTGCAATATGGAAGGAATATTGATCGCAGGAGAGAAGATATTGATGATACATGGTCCAACGAGGATTATATAAACAATGGAAGGATCGACGATGATGACGAAGCTTTTGAAGAAACACCACGGAAACGTGTTAGAATTCGAGTACCCGTGGTGCGTAGCAGAACTGCTAGACAACATAAGTTTACGGTCGTCAGGCGCAGACCCTTGACACCTCGCACCAAAGATATCGCGTACACTACGTCTACCACTATGCATACACCACGAAGAATCGTAGTGACACGTGTCAGAACTATTGGATCGGGAAACTCGATTAATCCGATTGATATTCCGGCAGACTATGGAAGTTATCAACCTACTGGTTTTGGAAGACACAAAGTAACTATAACTAGACGTAGAAAACTCCAATCTACGCCGACATCGACTCAAAATAAAGTTAGAGTAACCAGGAGAAAATTGGTCGCTGTGCGTCCGATATTTCCAACATCGACTCTTGCCATTATCACTACTGGATTCTTCACCGCGCCTTCTTCCGAATACGATGAATATTCAGACGAAGAAGATGAGAAAGAGTACGAGAGTGAAATTATTAGAGAAAAAGATCATTCTGTTATTACACCTAGTCTCGAAGAGACACCGAATCTTATTGATAACAAACCAGATGAGGAAGCTAGTCTTGTATCGTCGGATGGCAGCTATGCTATATCCGAAGAAAGCACAATAAACATGCCAGTGATTATTACCGACAATTTCTTTTTCCCTCCATCTAATGACGAGGAAGATGAAGAATACGAAGATGATGACACAACTACCACGACTGAAAATGCAAACGAAGTCACGAGTTTAATGAAAGACGAGCATCCCACAATTTCTCCTAAAGATGAAGATAATATTGTACCTAATAAGAGTGATGTTGAGATGCAACCAGACAATATTACTGTAACGACAAAATCAATCAATCAACAGAGCAAACAATAAAAGCACCTGAAGGATCTGATAATACGTCGATAAATATAACGGAATCAATCGTTTTGGAAGACATTAATAATACAGAGTTATCAACAAAAACCGTTATATTAAATGAATATGTACCGACCACTGAACTTATTGTTAATAAAGATGGTGATGATAAATTTGCAACAAAAGAACAAATTACTACCATTGCCACCCTTGAAGAGCAAACTACTTTCATGGAGGACATTACTACATTAAACGTACCCGATGAATCTACAACCATTCCCGATAAAGAAAACATCACGACGGAAGAAATTACATCAGTTACTGAGACGACAATGAGTGGTAAAGAAAGTAAAGAAAACATCACGACGGAAGAAATTACATCAGTTACTGAGACGACAACGAGTGGTAAAGAAAATAAAGAAAACATCACGACGGAAGAAATTACATCAGTTACTGAGACGACAACGAGTGGTAAAGGGCAAGAATCAACCGAAGCTGCTGAAGATACTACAGAACGCAGCGTGATGCCAGAAACGATCAGCGAGGACTCAAAAGAAATTCCAACAGTACGACCTCTCCAACCGGATGTTATAACTGACTCTAATTCGACCCAGATTTCTCTAATCGGAACGGTCCTTCCATCTGATACTATCGTAATCGCACCGAGCTTCGAGAGCGTTATACCGTTTGAGACTACAAAGTCATCGATACGCGACACTGATACGTCCAATTACCTTGGTGATTCGTACATACCCAGCGTGATACCTCTCAGCGCAAATTACACCCGCGAGACAGTCCCCGCGACGAAAGTCACGAGCGAGATTACGCCGGAGGAGATCGAGGCTGGTTTAGCGGATGATCTTTACCTGTCATTATCTCGCCTCGATTTCCCCGAGATCTTACCGTCGAAATCAGCCACGATTAATCTAGAGACTAAATCCATGCCGGATCTCGCGTTGGAGCCTAGTACGAGCGTTTATTATACAGAGACGGTAGTGACGTCGACGCGACTAAGGACGTACACGTACGTGGTGACGCAACTTAACGGACTGGAAACCAAAGTGACATCGTCGACGACCGTACGACCGAGAGTGACGACACTTACGTTGACGGTGCCTGTCACGGTGACTGTCACTCCTACCGTGGAGTCGTCAGCCGACTTCGTATCATCTGTGTATAATCCAGTACCCGTTGTCGGTGAGTAGTACCTTTTACCCATCTGAGACCTCTCTCTCTCACGACGATCGCACAAGTGCATAAAAACGTTGAAATAAACCGATATATGAAATATAAATAATATTTTAACGAGATAATATTGATGCGTAAACTTGTTAAAAAACGAGATGGCGAAACAGGCCATTTCAACGTTGAGTGCACACGGTGATCGCCGTATGTAATATAATCCTTAGACTAAACTTTTTTTTCGCTATAGACTTCCTGATTACGCGAATTCTGTTAAACTTGTACGAAACGGACTGTTGGACTGTGTAAATGCTCTGTTAAATATTGTGTCAATTGGCTTTTGGTATTCTAAATTTTTTCCTGTACATTACAGCCCTGTATGAAATGTAAATACTGTATATGGACAAAACGACGCTGTATATACCTGAATTTGCGTTTTTTAAAATGTACGATACATATAAATATTAATCCCCCCTATATTAATTACAATTAATTTAACTTTATCAGTTGTATCTTTTTCTGTAAAAATTTGTCGTATATTCGATTGTAATCCGAATATACGATTCTTTTTAATCTTTGTACATTAATACAGATATTATTTGATCGTTGATTTAAATCACAATAGGTAAGCCTACAATCTTCCGACAGTAGTTTTCACATCGCTACAATATTTTTTTTCAATATCTTCGAATAAATAGTAATTAAATTGATATTGTAAAGTAATTTCTTTTACATATATACAATACATTATTTATGACATCGTAACGATAGGAGAGTACGAGGCGAAGGATGAGGAAGAAGGGCGCAGATTTAATTTAGAGACCCGTGTAATGTCAAACGGCGTAGAAGTCATTGTCGCTGGACCAACTCCGGCTCTACGATGGGAAAACTCAAATCCTCAACCTACCCTCACCTTGTCAGAAGCGGTGGTCATGCTCCTGCCGCAGGATAAACCGAACGAGTTTGTCACGAAGACTTGCACAACAACTTTCACGTACCTCAGCACAATCACCAAGGATGGAACGACTACCGTTTCAACGGAGCAGCAGGTGCTTACGCAAACGTACTACGAATTAATTCCAACACCTAATATATATATTGTATATAAATATACTTATACATAATATATTTATATACAATATTATATATATATATGTGTATATTTCTTCAAATAAAAAGTTTCTCTATTCCCTCTTACAATTTATAAACAACTTTAAACCATATGGAATATTTCATTTTGTGTAAGAAATAAATTACTTTACAAAGATATGTGAAGAAGACAGATAGGATTGCAACGATAGTGTTGAATTTATTTTTTGTCAATTATAAAATGGTATTAATAGTCTATAATTTTAATGTAATTTTTTTAAAAAGATCTGACAATCATAACTCTCTCTCTCTCTCTCTCTCTCTCTCTCTCTCAAGGAAAATTATTACAAAAAAGTTTGATTACGATATTAACTCTCTCTTTGATATTAAATTAAATCTCTCTTTGAGTTTTAATCATTTTTTCATATATTTTTTTTCATATCATTAAATAACAAATTTCACATAATTGATAATCAATTTTTGAAACGACTTACAAAAATTCTCATTGGTATAATAATTTTATTATTTCTTCTAGGTGGTAGCGAATACAGCAACAGAGGAACGACATAGAAAACCTGGTTCCGAAACAGCAGCCGTGACTTTAGATGCATCCCCGACTTTACGCACCGAAGTATTTAAAACAACGTATACATATTTGACTTTAAACACAGATCATCCGGATGTGAATGATGCCTTAGAAAGTAGCACGAGAGTCATAACGAACACGGTTACCGCGCCGCAACATTACCTAGACATGATTCTCGAGCCATCAGAAGTTCCGCGACCGGAAACCAATACATATCTCAGTACCACAGTGTTGGAAAAAACGTTTATGGAAGAAGGTCGAACGAAAATAGAGACGATCAGCGACACGATTACTCAGGTTAGCTTATTTTCTTATCGCAAATTTCTATATTGGTATTTATTATGGCATTATATTTTTTTTTTGATTTTTAGCTAATAGTAACAGAATCAGCACCTCCGCCGCGACCAACCAGTGTCACAACTACTCTGACTGCTTTAGATAACACCGACAGTAGCGTAACCGATATGACTAAAACATATTACATTACATACACATATTTCAACACATTTTTGGAAAAAGGTAGCACGATAGTTCGCACAAACGTAGCCACATCGACTGACGTGGTATTGGAGAAAGTGCCAGTGCGAAAAACAACCATGAAAACCACTCCGGTTAGTCCTACGCCGGAGCCTATACAGATCTTCGCCACTAAAACATATCTTACCACATTTACTTATTTCACAACGTTATTACAGGTAAATATGGTACTTTGTATTTACGTCTTATATACACTGTTAAATACCAAAAGAGCAATGGTAACCTCTCTTGAATTAAATAATATTAAAATTTTATAATCTAAATAATATTTTGTTATTTTTAATTTCCATGAATGCCAAAATGTAAATCAATTCCTCTCTGTAGTTAGTTTCAAAATAAATACGTCCATATTAACATATGAATTTAGTAAATAATAAACTAAATAATAAACTAAATTTGAATCAAATTTAATATATTTTATTGAGTTCAATTGTTTAACTGTATTGTTTTAATTAAATTAACGACGATATTGAGTAGGAGCAGTAGTGACTTATAAAAATGATTAAAATAATTCAAGCTGAATTTAATTTGAGATGTTATGAATTTTACATTTAAAATCTTTCTCCTATCATAAACAGGCTGGTCCAGATGGTGAAACATCAACAACTGTGACGTCTCGTTCACATATCGTTGAAAACGTCGTAACAGAATCAATAGCTCCGAGTTTATTAGACGCCGGTTATATGAACGCCTTATTGACGACCGCGCATCATTCTGATCCGGTGAAAAACGTCGTCACGGGTTCGACCATTATCTTCTTCGATGATGAAGATCAGATCGAGCCAACTGCGACCTCAGATCTCCCACAATCAACCTCTATTACAGAAATAAAAAAACACGAGAAAAGTCCCACGAACAACTTAACAACTACAATGTCAACGGAAACGTCGGAGGACATTAACTTTGATATAAAGCCAGTAGATTCAATTGATAAACAGGTATATTTCATTTACAAACTTTTTCTAAATTACGAGAAAAAATGTTTTCCACAATAATATTTATCATTTTGGAACATATTAAATTATGCGAATATTTTATATATAAATAAGATTTGCAACTTTTGTACAGGATAATAATGGTACTACAATATTAAGCGATGTATCACAAAATAAAAGGCCGAATTCTCAATCCGGAGACGATGGTTCAGTTAGCAAACCTCTTCTTAGTCTGGGTTCTTTAGGAATAAATAGTTTATCCGCTCTGGGACCAGTAATCACAGCAATGGCCGGATTATTGCAAGGAAAAACTGCAGCTACTCGTAGAAACGACAGCGTATCTCTCGCAGAGATTCAAGAAGTCACAACACAACGATCGCCTATCTACATACCTGTCGCAGAATTTGCTGACGGTGATATAGAAACTGCTGAAAGCCAACATATTGGTAATGATTTTTCTTTTTTTATCAAAAACTAACAATAATTATTTATTATGTTTTATTTAGCACGTTTCAAATATGAAATGATTGTCTTTTCTAGCTGTTCATCTGGCGAATCTTAATCATAATTACATTGCCGAGACGCGCCACAAGGTTACCAGTAGTCTTGCCGACGGTATACCGATATCCCCGGGTGAAATAATTACCGCAAATAGTGATGTTATCATAGGAAAACCGGGCAAAATGGCGCCGAGACCGCCGCAGACGCTTCTGAAGGATGAAGAGCACATTGGCATGAAACCGCCACCATTACCGGTACCGAATATTCCAGTGCATCCTGTATTAGAGGTGCTAGAAAACAACGACGATGTACAAACTCAACAAACCGCGCAAGATCCACAAATACAAATTTTACCGGCACATCAGATTTACGAGGAACATCTGAAAGTACCGGTTTCCATTCCTCTCGATGCAAATCATCCAACGGCTCCTAAACAATCTCAAAAGTTGCTTTCCGTTCAATCACCGCCTAAGAGAATCGCATCAAAACAGGATATCCTGGAGAATGATCCCTTACTTAAACCACCTAACAGACCAAACGTAGAACAGTATGCGAATCCTAATGTGAACCCTAAAATTCCAGAGTGGAATCCGGAAAAATATAGAAGACCATGGAGCGCTAAAGATCCCTTAACACCACCGGCAAGACATGATGAAGTACGTTTTATTTGTATTATATACATTTGCATTATATATATTTATTTATGCAGTGTGTGTGTATGTGTGTACATAACATATAATAATTTCAAGATTCATCCGGACAAACCGATCGAAAAACCACATCCGACTTCAGTTATGTTATCTTCGGAAGAACAGAAACGACCGCCATGGGCACAAAAAGATCCTTTATTGCCGGATAGTTCTATTATTGTACAGAGCTCAGAGTCAAAACCTATTTCTACCAAACCGATAGTCCATCAGATCCCACATGTTATTGATAGATCAACGGGGCAACCTTTATTAGTCAATATCCAACCCAGTCAAGTAGCTAATGTCGTAATTCCTCAAGGTGGCACACAAGCTCTGATTTTTGGAGATACTAATGAACCTCATATAAGTGGCCAATATTTTGACGATCCATCTCCTTACCCAGAACCTGAAGTTGGACCAAGTTTCATTGGTATTCAAAAGGTATGTGTATCAATTTTATTAGTGTCATCGCGTAAAGCAACATTTCTTATACTAGTATATATGTTTAGGTTGAAGAATTACCTCAATATTCAAGTGAGAAAAATCCAACTCATTACATGGTTCCACCATCACCATCTACCAACTTTAAGGTTTCTTCACCAAAACCAGGTTTTTCCAGTCGTCCGCATATTTTGTTGCCACCTGTACGCGAGAGACCGCTAGAAACGCCAGAGGTGTCTGTACTAAGACCCGATAAAAGACCATCGGAGATTCATCTGATCAAACGACCTGATGGATCTGGAGGTTCCGGTCAAGGTCACGTTCATACAGAAATTCTTGTACATCACAAGCCGGAGACAATAAACGTTCGACCGCAACCTGCTAGTCATCCATCTGTCCATTCTCACGTACATTCAGTTCACCAACCGCCAGTGCGTGGTCATTTTTCAAATGGTCAAACTCCGATGGAACAAGCTCCGCCGAGGCGTGTGGAAGTCACGCCGACTGAAGTTCCACATCGATATATATTCCTTGGAAAACCAGATTCTGGAAACGAGATAACCTTAGGCACCAATTGGAAATCCGACAAGAAACCGATTAGATTTGCTCTAAATAATCGACCGAGACCACGACCAAGACCGACGACCAATCGACCCTTAGATAGACACGTTTTCATGGAACGACCTACTGGATATCCGCCGATTAGGAAACCAACGTATTCAGGACTACAGAGACCTCCAATAAAGACGCACAACACCTTTATGTTATCACATCGTCCACCAATGAATCCTCAACTTCATCAGGAACCAACTCGAATAACCCCTAATATATTCACTCTTCAAATTGACAATCAAAATAGACCGCATATTTATCCGGATAAGACAAACATAGGTAACGTTATGCCGCCAACTGATAATAAGCAGAACGATAACGTACCCACTGGTGCAATAGAATACCACAATCCTTTACATCCAAATCCGATATCGAAAGAAAACAAGCATTCTCAAGTATCAGCTATGAATACGCAGAATGTATTGTCAGATCATCTTGAAAAATGGCAGACTAATACACATACAGAGCAGATACAATTGGATTCTGATATCGGTGCCTCGGAGTATATTAATTATCAGAATCAGTATTATGGAAAAGGAAATAGAAGTCAAGAAATCAACGGTCAGAATAAAAAAGACACAACGAATTCTCAAAGCATCAACCAAACTCTGACATCACAAACTTTATATGGACCAGTTATTTCCATCAATACGGTTGTAGGCAAACCGCTAGAAGTCGAGCAAGAACAGGACGTAATTTATGAACATGAAACGGATGGGAAACCACTTTTGCAAGGACCTCATGGTACCGATCTCTACAATACGAGGCCTTACGAATTGCCCGTAGTACAAGGCAAACCTTTCGGTGTTTATAATGGTCACGTCGATCCGACTACTTCTTACGGATACAAAGAAGACTATAAATCCGATTACGAAATAGTTCATGGTATACCCGCTCCTCATAATGAAGATACAAGACCAGTTATGACTAAAACGCAAAACGGACAAGTCACGACACTAAACTCACTCGAACGCGACGATACCATCGATCTTAAGCCACCGGCGATTATACCTCAATTCGGCGTTGAGGTAGATAGACCTGGAAGGCCGTTCTCTAGACCAATTAGGCCTGATTCTAGACCTAGTTTAACTCGAAATAAACCAGAAATATTAACGAAACCACCAATTAAATTAGAAGTTAGACCCGATTACTCTATAAGACGTCCGGAGAACGTCAAACCGAATGCGGAAATTTTTGTCAATCAAACATTGAATCATAGAATAAAAATAAATCATAATCTTCAGAATTGGGACGCGGATGTAGCAATCTCCGATATTGTGAAGTCTCAACAGAAAACAGTTGAAAATAAAAATAGCACTACATCTCGTCCGATTATAATCGGCAATAAACGTCCGAATATCGTTCGACCAGAGCATGGAACGTTCACGAGAGTGCATCCGGAATATCCTCATATTCTGACAAAACCGAAACCCCAAGTGCCAGAACCAGTAATTATTTCGAGCGGTACTGCGGGACTGGAAACGCATGGTCGTCCGAATGTTAAGTTCTCCATGTCGGTCGAGGCTATGGGCGAAGAAGTAGACAGTAAGACGCAAACTGAGCGACCGCCCAGCATGCTAGTTACGAAACATAATTTATCACAAAATAAAAAGAACGATGAAACTTTGGAAACTGCTTACCAGACGAACTTTGCTTCCTCGGATTCTCAAAGTGAACAGGACAAAATCAAAGATGTTCCTTCTAGAAATATGATGCCACCACCTCTAAACGGGGGGATCGGATTAAATCAATCAAAGAAAAAAGAGCAAGAAGGACTTAAACCACCGCCACCGCCGTCAAGCGACGTGCTCGGGTTGTCACCACCACCGGTAGACATCACTACCACTCATATACCAATAGACGATAGATTCGCCTTAATGACGACCGACGAATCAGGTTTGAAGCCTCCAAAATATGTACCTTTAAAAGACTCGACAACGATTGCACCACCTAACACAAATATGGTTCCACCCAGCCCAAGACCGTCACTTACAAGACCTTTTCTCGTAGAATTACTGTCGCAGGTAAAACCTTCAAAATATTTGATTTGCAATTCGTTCGTTGGTGAAAATTTTTCTCAGAATTTTTCATATAATTTTTCAAAATTTATGTAAATTTCAGAATTTCTGATTAATTTTATAATTTTTTAGAAAATTTTTCAGAATTTTTAATATAAATTAAAATATTTCAGAAGTGTCGAGAAAGTCTACAGCTTTTCTAGAATTCTTCATATATGTGGTTTCTGAAATAATTCTAATTTTTAAGAAATAGTTCTAATTTTTAAAATTTTTCATTAGATTTAAATTTCAATAAATTTAATGTTTAAAATATTTTTTCAAAAATTATAGAAAGAAAAATTTTAGAATATTTCAGAATTTATGTATTATATATGAAAAATTCCAAGAAAAGATATAGACTTTCTCAATATTTCTGAAAAATATCTCAAAATTTATATAAAAAACTCTGAGAAAAATTTTTAAAAAACAGTCGCATAATCTAATGATATATATTTGTTATACTTTAGGACATGGTGCCACCGCCACCAGTATTAACAACTACAAGACCGCTTGAGATCGCTACTATAAGACCAGCTGTCGCAGTTTCCGGTTCTATACAGATAGCCACTGCCGTCGCGACGTCTCATATCCCAGTAATCCAGGATATTGAATCGAAAATCCCAATTATTCATGGTACTGTTGATCTACCAGTCGTAGTTGACGTTGCCGATATCCTCAGACCTATAGAAACGCGAATGAGTGAGCATGTCAGCATTTACACCGTGCAACCGTTTGATACAAGACATGTGTCTAGGTACGTAAATTATTTAATAAAATCTTTGTTAAAACAAATTATAATAATTAAATTGTTGCATTTTTAGAATCTCCATTCAATCGACATCGACGTTGACGACAAATATAGTAATACCGACAAAACTGCGACTACCTCAAATAGATCATATTCAGCCGAGTAAATCGTCGACAATTCACCGTGATGTCAATCCGACGAGATCATATGTTTTGGACATTCCACCAAATCCTGTTAAGCGACCCGAGCATCCAGTATTCTTAGAATCTAGCCGCGAAAGCATCCCGTCGACAAGATTGGAACCTACCGAATCTTTAACATTCATCATAGAAACGGAAAAGAAACAGCATTCGACGATATCGAATATCAAAACACAAAAACCACAAATAATCGAATACAGCATCGTGAATAAAACGGCGAATAAAGAGTCATCCATAATAGTGACTAGAGTCGACAGTTCGATCAGTAAAGTAACCAATACATTGATACCAACACCGGGCAATAAGACACGTCCCGAAGTAAGTAACTCGGATACACAGTTTACGAAGAATATTGTAAAGGCGACTAGTACCATCGCCAAGAATCAATCCAATGCTACTATTCACACGAAACCAAAAGAGGTACGAGCATCTTGACATAAATTTAAATAATTGTTTATTTCTTGAATAATCGCATTGATTATATTAGTGATATATAATCGTACTAATTGCATATTAATGATTAGGTGACAAAATTCAAAACTTCAACGGTGACAAGAACTAAAACATCGGTGTTGGGTTCGCCGCCAACAACGAGGACACTTTTACTTACGCATACGATGACTACGACGACTGTCGAGACTGTGACGGAAACACTGCTGCGTTCGACAAGCGTAGTATCTACGGTAACTTCGACAATCTTACAACCGATTGTTACCAGGATACCTTCGACGTACGACAACATAGCGGATAATGATTCTATATTTGTCGTGATGAGTGATCAGAAACCACCTGTGCCTGGAGGAGAAGAGGTATTGATTTATGAAACACTATTCGTCACAATAAACAAAAGCTTTTCATAGCGTGTTTTACTTAAGAAATTAGTTTTTTTTTTCTGAAGTCGATATTTTCTTATCAAATAATTACCAAAAATTATTAAATATAAATAACTAAGAAATAATTTTTACTTAGACGGGTATATTTTGCTTGAATTTTAGGTGGAGGCTGAATACGGGGAGGAAGTTTCTCGTGATGAGCAAGATCTAATGGGTAATGAAATCCATAAAGTATTGACAGGTGGAATACTTGGTGCGCCGATAATACCTCTTACACCAACTGCGAATCAATGCATACCGGAGTGTAAATCATCCAAATCTGAAATATGTGCCGAAGTAGGAACCGAGATGAGGTGCGTCTGTCGACCAGGGTTTGCAAGAATGTTCCCGGATCGTCCTTGCAAACGTAAGTCTCACAGATAAATCCGTATGCATTTTTTATTGATATACTTTGCTTGCGAATATACTTATTGCTCGATTTAATACGTTTAAGTTAACGTGTTTTAATTTTTAGCGACCTACACATACACGCTGCGCGTTGGTTTGGATCGTATCGGCCATGAATTCATAGCGTATGATACTGCCTTAAATGATTCTACATCGGCAACTTACAAACGTTTGATAGTTCCGACGAAGGAAGCTTTAGATAGAACTTTAATGCAGAGTGACTTGAGAGATGTGTACAGAGGCCTTAAAATTGCTGGATTCATTCCGGATCCTACAAAAGTCGAGTTTCACGTGCAACTAAGCGATAATGCTAATGAAACCAGATTAAAAGAAGTCCTTCGGAAATACTTAGTTGGCAGCAATTACAGTTTAGGTGGCACAGAGGTCTATGCTTCAAAGAATCTTGATTCGGTAAGTTGAATCATGGCAATATAAATTAATAACTACAAAAGTTCAAGGCAATTGTTATAATTATGGATTATTGACATTTCATTCTTCAATCTAATTCAGATCGAGGCGACCGATTTTGATGAATGCGCTTCTAAGGAAGGCGGTCCGCATCATGATTGTTCACCCCACGCAGCATGTTTCAATTTACGAGGATCCTATCAATGTTCTTGTAGAGAAGGCTGGGCTGATTTATCAGAAAATCCAACGTATCCCGGAAGGATATGCTCGCAAGCGCCATTGGGATGCGCGGGCTGCAATAACAAAGGTCATTGCGTTACCAATTCTCTCGGTCAAGAAGTATGCGAGTGCTTCCCTTGGCACAGCGGTCAACGATGTCAAGTTAATCTCAAAGGTGAAAAAAATATCTCTTATGAAGTATAATGATTTTGCAATTAAATCAGAGAACCAAATCAATATCATATAAAACGGAACTCTTAAACAATTATATTTCCATATATTTGCAGTTTTATTGATAGCTCTAGTGACGACCGGCGCGATCTTGCTGGGTCTCCTAGCAATCTGTGTGGGAATGACGTGCTTCCGTCGCCCAGGACGGAAGACCGGCGACAGCCGAGCCATGA